TTTACTTTATTTCCCGTAAACATTTTTTTTCCATTCAGCTGGTTTCCGACTGCAATTTGTAAGTTACAGTACGAACGGTAACCGTAAAGATACGTGTAGTATGTATGAAATATCGACTTTGGATCTTGCAGTCTATAAAACAGTGTTATTTACACAGGCGTGGAGGAGAGCTCCCGGCGACTCTTACGCTTTTAATTGAGTTCTACGTGTCTCCAAAGTTGTCCCTTAGCGTAATTAATCACGCCATGAAGACATATAAGGAGTGGAGTTATAGCTATATAGCTATCTTTATTTTTTGTTGCTTAACGACGCTGTCAGTATCGAGCGCTCGGTCGGTATAGTTCGCTTGCGGGCTGTAACCACGGAGTTTGTTTGTTTGTTTGTCAGTTTGTTATATAGCGTTGGTGGCAGGATGATTAATGAGTGTGGAACATTTAGTGGAATGAGAATTGGCAGAGTAAACTGAAGTACTAGCAGAAAACTTACCCCAGTGCCATTCTGTCCACCATAAATCCCACATGACCTGACCTAGGATCGAATCCGGGCCGCAGTGGTGAGAAGCTATTCTTAACCATGGCACTCGATGGAGGTGAGCGGTCAGCTTCACGCCTTTATCGCTTTACTCCTGGGGAAACATCCCCGATGTCCATTGTGAAGGAGGCTTGGCAGGCCCAAGAGACAGTTTGGGCTTTATGGAAAAAAAAGTCTCTCTTGCCTCTGCCGAAAATCGAACCTCCGAATTGTGGGTCATCCAGCCCGTAGCATAGTCGATGTACCGATCGAGCTATCCAGTACTTGATTTGTTCAGTCCTTCGAGAAAGTGGGCCACGACTTCTTTAGGCTCTGGCAGTGGTAATGATTGTAATAACTCAAAATGACTGTTATGACATCTGTAGCATCCTGATCTTAGGAGGAGGAACGAGTAGGGGGTTACAGGTGCTTTGTGTTTGCTGAACATTCGTATTTCACCCATAGCTTCAAACGTGTATGGCCTTCGTTGGATTGCCTTTTAGCGGTAGTCGCGCGGTTCGTTTACACATCTGAAAACTTTTGCCGTTACATCCGTTTAGAATATTTCCATCAATCGGAAGTTATTTGTACATGTGATGATGGTTAATTTCTCCACCTGACTGCAGACAACCTTCACGGGCCGTGATTATGAAAGCTTGGAGCTTGCTTCATCCTACAGGAAGCCTGTTGTCTGACACTGAAGCCTAGTCAATTGGAAGGAAGGACAGAAGGATGCTGAAAAGGGCGATCTCAAAGATAAGAAAGTAGGTTATACTCGTATTTCAGGTCGAGCAAAATGTTTCTTTCTATTAAGCAACGATTTACACAGAATCTTCATAAGAAATGTGCGGCTGCGCGCTTACACGCATGTACTATGTTTTCACGCTGGTATGAGGGCAGGAGACCGTCTCTTTGGTCTAGTGGTCAGAGTTCCTGGCTACAGATTCAGAGGTCCGGGGTCGATTCCCGGCGCTACCAGATTTTGTGAGAAATATTGGGTCTGGAATGTGTTCCACTCACCCTCGTGAGGATAATTGAGGAGCTATTTCAGGGAAATAGCGGCTCCGGTCTAGGAAACCGAAATTGACGGCCGTGGGTGTTTTTTGCCCTGACCACGCGACACCCTCTATCCGCGAAAATTGACACTAACTTCGCCGACAAGCGGCGGTCACTCAGTCGGTATAGTTCGCTTACAGACTAGAACCACGCAGTTTGTTTGTTTGTTTGTTTGTTTGTGAGGGCGGGAAGTATGACTTGAAGCGGCTGTAAAATTCAGTTAGGTCGCATGAAGTCGCATGGTATCCCCTTAGTTGTGTTTGACTCCGTGCAGGAACAGTATTGTCGTTTGTATAAGGAATAGGTGTGAAAGAGAGGTAATAATTACCGAAAAATACTACATTTTAAGTCCGTTTCATTACGATCCAGAAATATCTGTTACCTTTTTGTTACCTGTCCGTGTGTATAAAGTTGTCCCTGTACTTTATTGATTAAGCAGTTAAGCACTACGCCATGAAGACGTACGAGTCAGTGGACGTATAGCTCCGCCATTTTTGACCTTGGCATTAGATGGAGGTGAGTGGTCAGCTTCTAGCCCTGGCCACTGTACTCCCAAGGAGAGAGCTCGCGGTACCCATTGGATAAGAGGCTAGGTTGGCCCAAGTGCCGGTCCATGTATATGCATAAGGATATATAAAATGTATTCTCTTTGGCACAGTTTTGCTCAGTTAGGCAGTGGAAAATTTTAGTGCAATTCAAACCAAAAACAATTTAAACCATGTCAGCCTCTTACATGAATTTATATTTTTAGTTAATATTTTTGTATATACTCACCTTACGAATGTTTATTCTTACGTATGTTTCGATGCGATGGATCGATTTTAGACGAATATTCGTCAGTAATAAAGCTGACATACCCGCTCTCTGGGTGCATGTATTGTCTCGTATATGCACTGTGTAGCGAAAGTAAACTGTTTGTAACAGGCACTTAGAGTACTAAATACGAGAACTTGCTGAACATTCGTGTAGCCGGTTAATTACAGACGTCGTAACCTGTACTCCGCTCTGCTGAAGATCAACGTTTGCAAATCAGTAATTTTACCAGTGGTTTTGTTGTGGTGTGAAACATGGTCCCTTAATTTGATGGGAGTAGCAAAGTACGAGTGCTCGACAACCGTGTAACCGGAATGCGGTATTTGGGTGATCAGAAGGGTGAAGAAAGTGAGCAATTTAATATAACATAACGAGGTGATTAATACAGGTCATTCGATGTTTTTAATGTATACCTGTACACCTTATACTCTTCTCCAGGTATAATTATAATGATCAAGGCAAGGAGGATGAGATGGACATGTAGCACGAATGGGAGAGAAGAGGAATACATATAGGATATTGGTTGAAAGCCAGAAGGAAATGGACCACTGGGAAGACTAAGGCGTAGGTGGGTGGACAATATTAAAATCGATCTTAGAGAGGTAGAATGTGATGATATGGATTGGATTGATCTGGCTCAGGATAGGGACCAGTGGAGGTCTCTTGTGAACACGGTAATGAACCTTCAGGTTCCATAAAATGCTGGAAAATTCTTGGATAGCTGCAGAATTGGCGGCTCCTCAAGAAGGGCTCGCTCAGCTCCGTAAGTAAGTACGATAAGCTGAGAATCAGATTAGGAGGTGGGAAACTTGGACTGAATATAGAATTTACTGCGGAAATCTCTTGGATAATATACACTTGAAATTAGATTTTAAAGTCCTCACGGCGGTGAATATTAAGATTAAGGTCCTCTGGGGTTTGATGCTCTCCACCAAACTCCACGGCTTCACATCCCAGAAGATTTAATCTTAATCCATTTGCAGGAATTAGAAGGAGATTGAAGAATAACTTTAGGTGTTCACAGCGGTGACTCTGCAAGAGTGACGCCGTGTAGTCTGGCAGAAATTTACAGACATCTCGGAGGAACGTACTGCCTTCATATTCGAGTCGAAGCGCAAAGCAAGCAAGAAAGAGGCAAACGGCAAATAGTCTGCTTGTGTGAAATATGTAAAATGTATGCCCCGTTTCCCATGCACACTCCTGCAAACGGCTCTTCTGCACGGTTTTCCGTATTTGCATAAGAAACCACACTTTACGTCCCCGATGACAATTGTGAGAAGGAATCATTTACTGTTCTGTGAAAAGGGGAACCGGAACCACAAGTTGGGAAATGGCTAGTTGGTAAAGGAAGCGATTTGAACTTCAGTTAAGAAGTAGAGTACGGTGATAGGATTTCATATTAATCCTTACAAATCAATGCGTATTATAAATGTGTTTGCCACAGCTGAAGATAAGCCTGATAATATGGTGGATATGTCTTTTTTGTAGGGAATTAAATTACAAAATCATTTTCATAGATTCACATGGAAATTCTCTTAAGAGATTTTGAGTCAGCATGGACAGTCTTGATGAAGGTATATTCATATAGCTTGTTTTCAGTGGTGAGAGTAGTACACAGTTAATAATGTGATCAGAGAACTGTCTATGAAGTATCTTTGAGGATCCATAATCAAATATTGACGTAGATCATTATGTCATCATTAGAAACGTACAGTCAACATACGATAGAAAACAAACTCGCCATGCTTGAGATGTCTCGTAACACGCAGGACTTCTCTTTCGTAAGGCGACCTCGAGGTGTAACGTACCCTCACACGTGTTTCAGGCAGACATAATAGGACTAAATGAGGAGAGGGTCCGTTATCCCAGGTTAGAAGCTGTATTTGTCAACATGGATTAGGTTGTACGTAGCTTTCCTACATGTTACAAGCTCGCAGTAAGCAGGCGACCCGCTCCTGAAGTATTTTACCGCAAGCTTCTGCGGATTTCTTGCTTGTCTCACTGTGACCCTGAAGATGGAGGCGATATGTTCCTATGTTCCTCGAAACGTCTGGTTGTCTCCGAACTGCATAGTGTTACAACCCTGAATGCCGTACTCTTCATAGTCACCTCAGATCCAAGAATTTTGTCTTTCTCGTTTTTTTTTTTTCAATTATTTCACGATGCTGCCTGAGTTGCGGAAAGTGAGTGGTGGGCTGGTATTGTGGATTGGGAAGCCTTAGTAGCACATTCCCCCACACAGATGAAGGAAACCGTGAAAAACCAGTAAACCAGGATTCGAAACGGATACTTTCTTGATATGTCACTCGCCCTACTTCAGATTAATGTCATCCATCTTTTGGCGTATTAAGGCATGCAAACCCCAGGAATAAGTAAATGGTGTGTCTACACACACAAACATACGCGTACACTCACTACATGTCTCAGCAGGCCTCAGATATCTGTTCTCAACAGTTTTAGCCTGACGTCATGAATTCCTAAGGGTGGAAACAGCTGTCATTGACTGTCCTCCCCTGACTACAATAGACCTTTGTATGGCGTGCAACACATGTAGCATACGTAGGGTTTAATGCTTTTGGAATGGTCTGTACATCTGCTCCAGGTAGTAGTCATTGTATAAGTTTCAGGCGTATAGAAATGTGGTAAGTGGTTTGGTAGGTACAAGCAAGCTGGCAACGGTGAGGGAACGAGGGAAGCGGCTGCATTCAGACAGAGTGGTTAAAGGAGGGACAGCGGGCTGCAAGAGGAAGTTCGTAGCGCTCGTCATTTTGCATACCAACACACCTTCTGCTACCTCCGGGGTCTTGCTGCGAATTGTATGAAGACAGTATTGTGTAACTATACGTAGAAAGCTGTTGGTGTTGCTCATCAGGAGACATGGACGTTTCAGTTTGGTGTGCGGTTAATCACAGATACAGACACTGCGCGCGCTGTTGACGGTGTTCGGCTCCTTGAGTAAAAATTGCTGCTCAAGTTCTGTGAACTTCATCCTAACGTCAAGCCCCTGTGTTCAGTTTTATGTGGCAAGTTTTGGTGTATATCGTGTCTAATTTGTGCTATAAATACGTGTAGGACACCAGATTATTCTTCCAACGTGCTTTTAAATCCTGATGGTGCTAGAATGTTCCGTGTGAACAAAAAAATATAGTCTGTGATATGAGTTTTGTTTCATTATAATGTGCCTTTGTAACAAGGAAGAAGGAAACTGAATTCACTTCAGGCACAACTGTGTAATTTTGAAGTGTGAGTGCAGTATATAGTGTTATTTGATAATAATTACTGAAGTGTGGAATACCGTTCGCTTGGATTGGTGCAGAATCAGCAATAATGGGTCAGAATTCTTCAACTCATCACGAGCCTTTGGATAGAGCAAAGGCTGCTCGAAGATCCCTCAGACATATGAAGGTATGTATCTTTGGATCTTATACCTGAAATGTCCAATTGTAATGATCTGCTTTAACATGTCTCTCATCAATGACTGACTCCTTGAAAAGTCGCCAGTTGTGCAGCTACTCAAGGATTTCCCAGCACCTTATGGAACCCGAAGGTACATTACTGTGTTCACAAGAGCCCTCCACTGACCTATCCTGAGCCAGATCGATCCAGTCCATACCACCCCACCATATCTCATTACTAATATTAATTTTAACACCAGTCTCACCTATTTCTTGATCTTCTAGTAGTTTGTGTCTTTCTGCCTTTCCCACCAACATCCTATATACCTTCCTCTTTGCCATCATGCCCTTCCCAGCTCATCCTCCTTGTCTTGATCATTCTAATTATACTTGGAGAAGAGTACAAGCCATGAAGCTCCTCATTATGCAGTTTTCTCCGACCTCCAACCATTTCATCCCTCTTCGGTCCAAATATTCTCCTCAGCACCCTGTTCTCAAACACCCTCAGTTTGTTTCCATTTACTTAATGTCCTAATTGAAACTAGACCTACTTTTAAAAAAATTAGGTCATTTCATTTGTTATAGATTCTCCCTACTCCTCCCAGCCCTAAATAATTTCGTATTTTGATTGCAGCGTAGAAAGTTTTGTGTCAACAACCAGGCGAGACTGTATAGCAAATTGGCCTTGTGTACTTTTAATACTGGCCAGTCCTGGAAAGTAAAATTCATTGGTTCTGGGTTGTGATGAGAAAGAACAAACGTACTAATGAAAATTGTATACTTTTCAGACAGAAGTTGTCATACCGAAAATGATAATATATAAGAAAAATACGTTTGACACGTATTGTGATAATTATATTTCATAAAAAATAAAAATTAAAAGGTAAAGTTGTCCCTGTGCGTTTGTAATTAAGCACTTCGCCATGAAGGTGTATGAAGGAGTGGATGTATACGTGTAGATCCACATTTTCTTGACCTCGGCACTAGTTGGAGGTGAGTGGTCAGCTTGACGCCCCGGCCGCTTTACTCCCGAGGAAAGAGCCGTCTCTACTCATTGGATAGGCGGTTGGATAGACCCCAGAGCCGGCCTGGACGACGTGGAGAAGAGAAAATTCTTGACCCTACCGGGACTCGAACTCCGACTCCTCGGTCGTCCAGCCCGTAGCCAGTCGCTATACCGGCTACGATATCCCGGCGCCTATACTGGTACAGTAGAACACTATTTTTCATCAAGGACGTGGACAATGGCCAGCGTAATATCAGTACGCATAATGTCCGTAATTGCTCTAAAAATTTGGAGAATTTGTATTGTGCATTTGAGATTATATTATGTATTGGCCTTGCGATTTCTTGTTCCCAACGTTTCAGTGTGAAATTGAAATGAACTAGGTCTAGTCCATGTATGTCAGAGCCCTTTGTCCATACAAGCCTCATCGCGTGTTTTATCAACATCGTTAAGGAAACATCTCTGGAAGACAAAATTACTTCAGTTTTATACAGTATGGAGGATAGCAACAACTGCGCCCATTTTCACATTGGTGTCGCAAAAACGTTTGCAATAGTGGATTCCTTGCAGAGAGAGAATCAGGACTGTCCGGCAGTTTCCGAAGTAGTTGGCCTTGACTCATGTTGGTGGGACATTGGGAGCTGGTTGCATGAATACCTGACTGGGGGATTCTAGTGTCTGCCTTGCTTTCAGCTTCGAGACAGTTTGTTACCTGGATTAAGTATTATGGATGGTTTACTTGTCTTCAGTATTGAAGACGCAGATGTTAGAGGAAGTTTGCTGTACATCCTAGGTGACTTGTAGTAAGCCCGAAGTGTCCTTCATTCGTCGGGGATTCTTAAAATAATTACTGAAACAACAGAATTCAGACCATTCACGTCCATCTAATGCGAAGGTTAAGAATGGTGGAGCTATACCACTATTCCTCCATAAGTCTTGGTGCTTAATTAGGCACAGGGAGAATTTTAATAACTGAAATACAGAATTGCTTATATCTTAAGTCTAACACACCTGTAATAAACACAATCTTAATGCCGGTAATACGTGATTCAGCTTCTATATGCATAATTAATAAACCCCGTAAAGAATTTAAAAAATAATTGGATATTATAACTGCGTTTCTGTTACGTGAGAGCTAGTGCACTGCAAGAAAAAACACTGAATTCGTCATATATGCTCTTAATTTCAAAATTTCTTATGTGATATGATACATTTTGTGTTAAGCCGCATGATAGTAAGGGTGGCCGCACACCAACTGAGTCAAGACAAGCATCAAGACATGGGACAAAGGATGCAGTCTTGCTTCATTCGTGATTCGTCATCATCATGACTCAGACCGGTGTGCGGCGGTTTTCATAATCTCATTCATTTCAACTGTGCTCCTTTCTTTGCGTCATGTCGCAGACATCGTGTCTTGACGCATGCCGGTGTGCGGCCTACCTAAGTCTTGCAAACGACAAATGCCTTGATGTGCAATATATTGACCCACAGGCTTATGGCTGTCTAGCGGCAGACCAGTGGCGAACATAGATCACTTTATGCGTTATATCGCATATGGTGTAGAATTTACCGTACAAACATGACGGAAGGAAACGGAAAAGATAAGGATTTTGTGCTTTAGATACATAAGGTCCTTACAGTCCTCAAAGACTGCTTTGTGTCACAATAACAAAACTTTGTTCCTTCTTGCGTAGAATTTATGTGAAACGGAAACTGTTAAATACGTTGAAACACTTCGTAAATATCATGAATTAGATTCCCTTGGCAAATAGGCCAGTTAATTTTTAAAGACCTGTATACATATTATGTTGTAGTTTGTTTTGCTGAAAACTTGAACAACAGCTAAGACATTAAGGCTACAGAGAGAGAGACTGTAGTTTTGAAGCAAGAATCATGTCTGCATATCACTCCCATTTGCCATACTGTCAGCGTGGGGGATTGCTCTAGACCAAGGGTATCCAAACTACGGGCCGCGGGCCACATCAGGCCCGCGAAAGAATTGTGCAGAAATGTGATTTATTTGCACTTATCAAGGCATTCAGAGCAAAGTTGATACTTCTGGAAAGCCAAGTGAAAAATTGTAACTTTGTTCATATGCTATACTGTGCAGAGTTGCATAAATAGGGTGACGATGAATTTCCTTCCTCGTTTGCAAATTTAGTCATTTCAGATTTGAAAGAACAATTTTGGAAGTGATTTGCTGATTTGGATGCCAGTGCTCAGGAAATTAGATTGTTTCAAAATCCGTTTGACTGTGATGCTGTAGATGTCCCAAGTCAAATTCAAATGGAAATTATTGAACTTCAGGAAAATTATCATATTAAAGACAAAATGCAAGGAAGGAAATTTGATTGAATTTTTTAAATTTCTGAACTCTGAGCAATTTCCAAATTTAGAGAAATTTGCTTGTAAAGTTATCTCTATTTTTGAGGCGACATATCTGTGTGAACAAACTTTTTCCCAGATGAAGTACATCAAGTCGAAATACAGGGCAAATTTATCCGATGAACATTTAAAGTCGCTACTTGTGATTAGCGTTTCAAAATTTGAACCTCAATTTAATCAGATTTTATGAATGCAGGAAGAGTTCCATCATTCACATTAATTGTTTTGTTATAATTTGTGATGAAAATATGAGCATTTGCTGCTACTGTCTCTTGTCATTAATATACAATAATTTATTCTCACGTACTTTGTATTTAGTTTATGAAATTGTGTGGTTTCAATAAAACTCATATACCTAGAGTTATTAATGTCTCATTTTATCCGGCCCGTTGAAAGTGCTGAATTACCTAATGTGGCCCGCGTTTCGAAAAGTTTGAAGACCCCTGCTCTAGACGAAACTATCGAATTGTGATGTATCTTCAGCATTTTGACGGGAAAACTGATTATACTGAAACACCCACAATTTCTGTTGTTTTTTATTTTTTTGTCCATCGTCCGGTATTCTAGACGCCTGCTCTTTTGAGTCCCTAAGAAATAACTAATCTCAATCACTGGACAACCCATATGTCCAAGTCCTACTGCGACTGACAGTCAGTCACTCAGTCAGTCAGTCAGTATAACGACAGCTATATAAATACCTGAGAGCACCCTTTGTCAGTGGGAGATAACAGGAAAAATGTGCAACAAAAATTCTGATAAAGCATGCACAGATCTGAAACTAAGATAGAAAGGGAGGGGGCAATTTTATGCAACAAACCAAGTCCGTGAAAACCAGTGCATGGGATTAATTAGTGAATGTTGTGAAAACGCCAGTAATTCCGAGTAGAGGAAGTTACTGAATTTACACGCGCAGTAGGACTGTTTTAAAAATTAGGCATATACTCTTGTTGTTTGGAAATCGCAGATATCTTGATGGGTTTTCTGACCATCAGGTTACAGGGAACTCAAGTACCGATAACACAGATTAAAGAAATAGTGGTGCAGTGAAAGCAGAACCGTATTTTATTATGATGATTAGAATCTCGCCGATCGTAGTGGCCGAGCGACGGACTAAGGCAGGAAATGTATTGGTGGGATCGTGGGTTCGAATCCCATTCCAATATGGATGTCTGTGTTTTTTCTCTCTTCGTACTTGATTGTGTACGTAGCGGCCTTGCGACTACAGACTGTCTGTAATATTACTAGTTTTGAGGTTAATTCTGGAACTGGAACAGTCTAGAGGGCCTAATTCTACTGGTAGGCGTTTAAGTAAAGTAGTTTTGTTAGTAACTAGGTGATCTCGACTTTCCCCGGCCGTAATGCACATGTAATTTTCATCTTTATCATTCATCGTACCATACTAGCTTCTTCTTTCGATAGAGCTTATAATACGCCTTGCGTATTCTGTATAAGGGGTGGGCCTTCTTGGCCCTTGCACCGCGACCGCTGATCTATTGTGCCTTGCGTATTCTGTAGGTTTATCCCTTAACATTTTTTAGATGTAATTTTCAGTTTTTCCTTGTGCATGTGGAATAAAAATTGGAATTTATTTGTAAACTTGAAATTATCAAGAACTACAA